TTCATGGGGACAGGCTCAGGTGACAGGCTCAGGTGCCTTGCCTCCTCCATGTGGCCTAGACCCTTCCACGCAGCACGCGCGGACGTGCGTCTGAGGGTGGGTCTGGGTAAGAGGAACTTTGCATGGAAGGCAAGACCCCGTCCACCTGTGGAGCCTGGGCTCTTCTGTCCAGGGCAGCAGTGGCCGAGGCTGAGAAGGGACAAGGGCAGAGAAGCACCACGGAAACACTGGGGAAGCCCTTGACCAGGGGCCTGGCTGGGCCTAAGGCCGGGCCCCAGGGCTGTCGTAGAGCAGGGTGTCCATCTCTGCGCGCTGCAGCCACAGGCGCTGGTGGGCGTCGCCAAGCAGTGCGCGGAGCTCGTGGCCCAGACGGCAGGCGGGCAGGGCCGCGCAGTGGGCAGTGTGCAGCTGGCGGCATGTGTCGCAGCAGCGCGTGGGCAGGACACCAGGGGCCAGGCAGCTGTGCACCTGGTAGCCAGGGGGCTCGGCGATGGGCCTCTGCACGTGCTGGGGGCTGGGGCTCCCAGGGGCTTGGGGAGCACCCAGGTCCCCGGGCCGACTCAGCAGCTCTCTGCGCAGGGAAAGGAAAGAGAAGGCCTCGGGCTCCGGCTCTTCCTCCTCCAGGGCCCCGTAGGGCGGACTGCGGGGGGGACTGCTGACCCGCTGCAGTGCCTCCCCCTCCTCCATGGGCTCCCAGGCCTCCCCCTGAGGGCCCCACAGTTTGGCACTCTGCTCCCAAGGCAGAGGCCGGTAGGCCGGCTCCACGGAGGGGGAGCCTGGGCCTGGAGAGGGCCCTCCGTACAGGCTGGCGTCGTCCGAGTCCGAGTCCGAATCCTCCTGCAGGTCCCGGTACAGGTCCAGCTGGGCCCGGAAGACGGCAGGGGAGCCCCGGGGGGGCAGGGGCGGCGGCTCCTCTTGCCGGGCCAGCCGCTGCTGCAGCCAGGCCACGCAGGAGGCCACGTCCCCACTGGCCCTCCGTGCCTGCAGCAGCTCCTCGGCCGGCAGCACACTGGTACCCAGCTGTGCCAGCACCTCGCCCAGGATCTCACACTCGAGCCGCAGGGCGAAGCAGCCCAGGGCCACCTGCACCAGCTGGTGGGCGGGGGGCAGGGCGGTCACCGTGAGGCAGTGGTCGTCCCTGGGCACGTAGCCCATCTTCTGGAAGCTCTGGATGAGGAGGTCCTCGGACAGCGCACCCTTCAGCACGTGCACGTAGCCCCCTGAGAACGTCTGCAAAGGGGGCCCGGTTAGCAGCAGCCCGGCCCGCACTCCGCCCTGGCCACTCAGCCACACCCACTCCGGATGGCAGCCTGGTGCCAGTGACTGGCGACTGGGGCAGCCCCCTCACCACAGTAAGAAACGCGTACGTTCTCCCGGTTCAGAGGTCAGAACACCATAGAGCCCCCACACTGAGAAATCCACTGCCTTCCGGGCTCCAGGTGGGTAAGTGCTTCACGGACGGCAGGGTTGTGTGCACAAGAACACCTGCTGGGATGGCGACCTGCTGGATCCCTCTGCAGCTCCAAAACCCACAGCCCTGGGACCATGAGCCCTCCTCGGCTCACAGCGGTGCCAGCGCCTCGCAGCCAGGAGGAGGCAGAACCAGACCTCCCCCAGGTCTGCCCAACACCAAGGCCCAGGAGCGCCTCAAGGGCAGCCTGTTTTCTGCTCTCAGCCTCCCCTGGGGCTGGCCCTGCACGCCCCACCCTCCACGCTACCCTCTGAATGGATGAATGAAAGTCCTAGAGCCTCAGACCAGCTTGTGTCCTCTGTGAGCAGTGGGTTCCCGAGCTCCTCTCCCCAGAAAGGCTGCCGCTGCCATGACAACCGGTGGAGGCCACTCGCCCACGTGCCCGGTGACATCATCACCGCCCTGCACTTCCGAATGAAGCACCAGCGCCTGCCCCCTTCTGCTGGCGGCTGCTCGTCTACAGGGGCCAGGCCAGCCCCCAGCACAACCGCCCTACCTGGGCCAGGGGTGAGCTAGGCGCATGCCCAGTCTGCCCCCCCACTCCCAGCCCCTGCCTGCTTTCACAGGGCACACCCCCCTGGCTTCATTCTCTATCAAGGGGATCAGCCCACATCCTGGAGGAATGAGGGCGACCGTGGAAACTCGAATCCTTCCCGTGGGCTTGTCCGAGGATTTTTATGGCAACTGGGGCCGCCAGGCGGCTTTGGGGAGGGCAGTGACGGAAGTTTTAAGGGGCAGGAGCCACCCAGGAGGCAGGCAACCTGGGGGTGGTCTCCACCCACCCCTTGTTCTCAGAGCTGGGAATGGCCACGAGGGTTCGGGCCAGAGCTGACCCAACACACGCAGGAACCCTTAGGCGCCCTGCGCCCCGAGACCAGGGGGTGAGGACCCCAGAAACCCCTCCCCGCAACGCCTGGTCAAGAAAGCGCCATCCTCGTCGCCGCGCCTACCTTGATGGTGGTGAACTCCTTCCTCCAGGGCAGCAGGTACAGGTGCACGGCCGCCAGCTCCAGCAGCTCGAAAGCGCGGGCCAGGCCGCGCAGCGCGGGGGCCAGGTCGGCGCGGCCCCACAGGCCGTCGGTGAGCAGCGCCAGCGCGTCGTCCTGCAGCGCCCCGTGCAGGTCGAAGTCCTCCACCAGGATCTGCCAGAGCACCGCGCGCAGCGACGGGTCCCCGCACACGCCCGCGCGCCCGCGCCGCAGCTCGCGCTCCAGGCACTGGCGGTAGTCCTCGGACAGCGAGCTGCTGCCCATCCTGGGGGCGAGGGCCGGGCTGAGGAACCGGGACCCCTGCCCCCAGCTGTGCGCCCAGAGCCCCCACCCAGCATCCACAGGTCCCCGTCCAGCCCGGGACCCAGTCCTCGCCGGCCGAGCGCCCCGGTACCTCCTGCAACCCCACCTGGGGCCCCGCCCCGCCCCGCCCTCCTCGGAGTCCCCCCCGGAACCGAGGGCCCCTCCGGTAGCTCTGCGTGAGCTGCAGGCGACCCCCTACCTGTCGGTCCCCAGCGGTCCCCGGCGCCCACCGCTCAGCTCGGCCTCTCCCCCAGCAAAGCGCTTCCGCCGGGAGCCGGCTCCGCCCACCGGCCTCGGCCGTGACGCGCGGGGCGGGCCTTGATTCAGTCGCCGCCGCCTCTGCTAACACCGGCCGGGCGGGGCCCGTCTACCGCGAAGCCGGTGCGGGGCACAGCGGATCCCCCGCCGGACCGCGAGCTCAGCGGACACTCGGTAAACGAGTGTGTCCCAGCGGCGGTCCCACCGGGCAGGGCGCCGGGCCCAGAGGACGGACGGGCCAGGGGTGCAGGAGCGCAGGTTCCTCCTCTGGCGGGCGGGACCCTTCGCCCTCCCCGGCGAGGTGAGTGGGTGCTGCGGGCCTGTCGTTCCTGGGCGCTGGTGGGCAGCGGCCTCCAGCCCACGGGGATCCTGACAGGACGGCGGCCCCAGGTGCCCACGGGCTGGCTGGGCTCAGACCCAGGCCCCTCGCCATAGTATGTGGGCGGCGGAGGGACTTCACTCTCCGTGGCTGGTGCAAACCTGCAGAAGCCCTAGACACGATCTGGCCCGAGAACTGCCAACTGTTCCTGTTTCTGTAAGAGCTTTTCCCGAAGAACCTAGCACTGCTCCCCCGACCAGCACCTGCTGTGCTGGGGCCCTGCCCCCAACCCTGTAGCCTCGAGGGTGCTGGGGGGGGAGGGGGTCCTCCTTCACTGGCAGGTGCTGCCCATGGCTGGGCCCAGACACCTGCCCTCTCCTCTCCCGGAGTCGGAGGTGCCACTGCTCAGGGTGCCCCGTGTGCTCCCACCTGGAGTACAAAACAGTGTTCTGCCCAGCTGTGACCTCCAACCCTGTTACCCACCAGGCCCTGCAGAGCATCCTGTCCCAGGGGCCCACCCCAGGCTGTCCCACTCCTGCAAAGAGGGTGCGGGGGGCAGGCCTGGTGTCGTGGACCTCATGGGTCTCTGGGAGTCGGGCTCTTGCTGGTCAGTAGAGGGGGTGCTGTCCTGCCTAGGCCTCTGCCCACAGGAGTGGGGAGCAAGCAAGCTACACGGAGGGAGACATCAGTGACCACTTTATTTTCAGCAGGTCAGTGGCTGCTGGGGGCACGTAGAGTCAGAGCAGGCCTCAGCTTCCCACCCACCCAGAGGGGATGTGCAGGGGCAGGAACTTGCCAGGGGGTGTTGGATGCCCACTGCCATGGGGGGGGGGCGTGTGGCTCAGAGTCCGCAGGCGTGGGCAGGTCCCCCGGGGACGCCTGGGCCTCCAGGGGAGAGGAGTGGTCGTGTCCAATAAATAACAGGCAGTTTCAAACCACTGGGCCCCGGCCTCCAGGGCAGGGGCTGACAGGCTCTCTTCTTGATTCAGACAAGACACTGGCTCAGGAGCTGTCACGGGGGCAGAAGGCCCATGCCCTGGCTCTGCCCTTGTGCCCCCCAGGGGAGTCCTCAGCTCTCTGGGGAGAGCAAGGGGGCCTCTCGGAGGCCGAAACAGGGAAGAGAAGGGCCTGGCTCCGCTTGGCCCCGTCCTGCCAGGAGCAGCTCCTCGGGCAGATGTAGGGTAGGATGGGCGGAAGCTGCAGCGCCCGGTGAGGTGTCCCATCTCCTCTACTTGCCCAGGGCCCCCCGGGGCAGCAGCTCCACGTAGCTCAGGGCGCTCTGCAGGGACGTCAGGCAGTAGCCCCCCTCTCCAATCAGATACCTGTGGGACAGCGTCTGTCACTGAAGGAGGCCCCGGAGTTCTAGAAGGGGCACCTGCCCTCGGGGGGCAGGACCAGGGGCTGTCAGGGAGGCTGGGTGGGGGGACAGCCCACTCCCCAGGCGGATGCTGCTCAGAGCTTGCCCCACTGTCCCCCACCCCCAATGGAGGGGTGTGCTGAGCGAGGGGTGGCAGAGAGAGGCTGGGGGAGGGGTCGTGGGCCATGTGTACGGTGCCTGCCCGGCTCCCCAGCCCGGGCCCTACCCCTCGTGGATGAACTCCTCCAGAGCAGCGCACTCCGACACCAGCTGGGGGAGGCCGCTTCTCAGCACCACGAAGGACAGGATGGGCAGGAGGTCATCGGCACCACTGTTGACAGAGGCAGGCTGGCCCGAGGCTCTGGGGGCCCGTGGGGCCGCTCCATCCCCAAAGTGCGAAGCCCCAGCTCAGCCCCCGGTGTGGTCCTGCGTTTACTGCTGCTCTCTGCACCCACCCGCCCAGAGCACCTAGGAGCACCAAGCCCCACGGGGGCAGGTGGGGCAGCTTTAACCGCATAAGCTTGCCCCAGCCTGGGGAGCAGGAGATGGAGGGGAAGGCTCAGGTCCCGGGCAGCCTGCTCACTCCTGAAATCACGTGTCACACAGCTGAGCACACAGGCCTGACCCTCTGTGAGAGGAGTCTGAGCTGAGAGGGGAGTGAGGCCCGGTGGGCTCCCCAGAACCTCAACCCCAGAGCCCCACGACCAGTGCTCTCTGGGGCGAGCAAGAGGGCAGACTGTGGCTTGCGTCTGACAGGAAGGCCTCTCACACCATGGGCTCCTGCCATGGCCTTGCCCCCGTGTCCCGTGGGCACTGCACAGCTGCAGGGACACAGGCAGGTGCCCACAGAGACAGCTGTAGGGCTGCAGCCAGGCTAGCACGTCCAGTCCTGGCGCTGAGCCACTGCAGGGACTCGCTTGGAACCAGATGACAAACTGGTGAAGGGGGCCTGTGGAGCCAGCTGAAAGCCCTGCGACCCTGCACTGAGGCCCAGCACCCTGGCCCTGGGGTGGGTGGGGGTGGCACTGTCTCCCACTTTTCTGCCGACCTCACACTCAGCTCTGATTTCTACCTGCCCGTCACCTGCAGGCCCCTGGGTGTGGGGAGGTGCCACAGCCTGCCCACCAGACTGCAATGATCGGTGCCTTCAGGGTGACCCTGGTCCCAGGGGCAGGGTGCAGGAGGCAGCGCCCTGCAGGGGCTATGCTATGGGAACGCCAGTCCCAGATGGGCAGCAGAACGGAGGCTGCAGGCCACAGGCAGGACCAGGCATGAGCCCCCGGCTGCAGCACCTGGGGAGGTGGGGCAGGGACGATGCAGGAACCCCAGGGCTGGGCTCAGGGCAGGGAGCAGGCTCTTCACTAAGCTCAGGCAGCTTCTCCCAGGTGTGCATGGAGGGACGAAGCACATGCATCTGGGTGAGCAACCCTGAATATCATCAGAGGGTCCCTGGCCATCATGCACCCCAGGCCGTGCCCCCCCTGGACTCACATGGCAGCCGCGCCAGGCTGTGGTCTGGCCTCAGGTGCAGGCTCCTGGGCCCAGTAGTAGCCCTCAGCACAGGCACAGATGACCCGCAGGGCCCGCACTGCAGCACAGAAGCCAGGTTTGGGGTGAGGGCAGGGGCAGCCAGAAGAGCCCCAGCACTGCCCCACACCCATCGTGTGGGTGATCCCTCCTGTGGGCATCGCGCTCACACCACTCATGTCCCATGGACCACACCCTGTTCGCCAGGAGGAGGACCCGCAGCTCAGACAAGGCACACAGGCCCGGTCGCCAGCTGGGACAGGACCATGGCTAGTGTGACCACGCCCCCTCCTCCCTCCTCCCCAAGGCTGGTGTGACCACGCCCCCTCTCACCAATGCAGTCCAGCTTCTTCTGGGGACAGCACTCCAGGACCAGCAGCCCCAGCTCCTGGGCAGCAGCGTCGTAGGGGTAGGTGCTGGCTCCTGAGGCCTCAGGGTCCCGAGGGAGCAGTTTGGGGGGGATGCCGAGGGCTGCTGGGGGTGCATTACTGTAGAGCTCCATGCTCCTGCTCAGGGCAGCCTCCCGGGGGCGGTACACACTCCTGCAGCGGAGAGAGGCCAGGCTCGGCTGCCCAAGGGACCCTGCCCGGGACAGGCAGGGTGGGGCGAGCTGGCCCTGCCCCCAGTCCCAGGAGGGTGGACACGCCACCACCACGGGCAAAGCTGAGGATGCCTCGGAGGAAAGCACCGGAAGCAGTCACAGCTGTGGCCGGGATGGGGAGGGCGGTGACACACGGGAACCTGGAGGGGCCTGGGGCTGGGACGCACCTGTAGAGGGCCAGCAGCAGGGGCCACAGTGGGGAGAAGAAGGGCTCCTCGATGCAGGCCAGGCAGCGGTCCTTGGAGACGGCCGTGTTGAGGCCTTCGAAAGCCAGGAGGGTCAGCGAGAGCAGCCTGTCTGCCGGGACAGAGCGGACACGCGGCACTGTGGGCCAGCTGGCAGCCCCTGATGTCACCCCGACGAGTCCTCACCCACCACCTTCTCTCTGCCTCCCAGAGCCAGCCTCCGTGTGGCTGGGGCCACAGTTAGTGTCCCGGCTCAGTGGGGAGGGCTGTCTGCCTGGCCCTCCCTCCACTCCCCTCACATCACGCCCTCCTGTGTCTACGTGGCCTAGGGTCAGAGCTGGAGTCTGGGCCCTCATCCCTGGGTGCTCACAGGGTCTTACCCAGCCCCTCACCCCCTGGGAAGGAGAGCAGGAAACAGGCTCTTTCGGGAAAGGAGCCTGGAGAAGCTTTAGAAACAAATCCAAGGACAAGAAACCTGAGGCCCAGACAGATGGAGCACCCTCCTGGGGATGAGGGAGACCTGCTCAAAGAGATGGGGGACCACCCAGGGAGGAGGGAGACCTCCTGGGATGGGGGGCCTGCCCGGTCCCTTGGAGAGCGTGGCCCACAGTGAGAACAGGGCCCCTGATTGTCGGGCTTCGGTTCTGGTTCTGAGAAACCCTGACAGCTCCCCTCTTGGGACTGGGAAGTCACTGGCCACCTGGGCCCACCGCAGGGAGCCCACACACTCTGGGGAGGAGCCACCGTCAGCCTCCGGCTGTGCCTGGCAGCCTTGGTCTGGGAGGACGTGAGTCCAGCCCTAGGAGACAGCAGGGCCACTGGCGGCGAGGCCCTGGGGGTGGACCTTCCCAACCACAGACTGGGGGGGCCAGGCCGTGATCCCCGGGCAGCCCAGGAGGACACAGCAGGGACTGAGGGAACCCGGACCACAGCCAGCTCAGCTGCTCCGGAGGCAGGAGGGGGCCTGCTTGTTGGCAGGATGTGTGGCTCAGAGGAAGGTGGAGGGGAGGGCCCTGCAGGTCAGGGCTGGCCTGGCTGCCGTCCCAGCTGCTGGCCCTTCCGTCGAGCAGCTCCCACAGCCCGCCTGTCCTGTGGAGCCCTCACCGACCGCGTTGTGAATGTCCTTCACGATGCTCTTCAGCGGCTCCAGCAGCGGCTCCTCCTTCACCCCTGAGGCCTGAGGGTCAGTCCCCCCGCCCAGGGCCCCTGGCCCCACCTCTCTGAAGTGGCCAGGAACTGTTCCCAGGTCCTCAAAGGAGCTGTCCTTGGCGCACCAGGAGTGAGAGAGACCCCTTAGGGCTGCTGTCTGCCCCTCTGTTGGAGGGCCCGGGCTGGAGTGGGTGTGGGGGGGACTGGTGGGGGGACCAGCAGGGGGATGCGGGGCTGGGCTGGGCTCTGGGGGGGACAGCATGCAGTAGAGACTCTGTGAGGGCCGCAGGCGCCGGCTCCCGGGAGCCAGCAGCCCCTCGGCATCAGGGGGCAGGGAGCAGCCGCCGGGGGCTGGGGCGGCCGCAGCGCCCCTGCTCACGACGTGGTACAGCGCCCGGTACACCGCACACTGGAGCTTCTTCAGGAGCTGCGCGATGGGGTGGTCGGGAACGCTGCCAGCACAAGCGGAGGCCGTGGGTTAGAGGGACTGCGGCCCCTGGCTGGCCTCGGGCCTGGGGGCTGAGCAGCCCGCCCTTCCCACACCCCTCGTCCAACAAGCATCTCGTATTCCTTCCTCCAGAGTCTGGCCCACCCCTTGGAGGAAGCAGAGAAAGGCCCTGAAAGACCACTGGGCAAAGGGGCCTGGGCAGCACAGCCCCCGGCCCACGATCACCTCTTCCCCTCCTAGGCCTTCCAGCAGCCAGAGGGCGGGGCCTGAGGACCCTGTACCTGAG